TAACACTCAGAATCGATCAATCTGTCACGCTACAATCTGTCATGCTGTTACAGCAATCTGTCATGCTGTAAATTACCATAACGCCAAATTGCTTTTTTTTGAATTATGGACGCAAACCCAAGTGATTCAGGACTACTTGTAGAAACGACTAGTCCAACCTTTTAAGGTGAAGATACCACTTGGACTAAAACGGCCAGAATGCCATATCGGTGCCTTGATGTTTTTTATTGGATCCATAATAAACTTGCATGAGGGGGCCCTGATCACAAAAGGAGATCCATTATCGGCCTCAGCAGTACTTGGGGCTCTGCTAGGGCTGGAGCTTGGAGTTTCAGCAGAGCGCAGACGACCAGGGTACCCTCCGTCATTGCCTCCAAATGGATTTGGCAGAAGGTTTGTAGATTACCTCAGGGGCAAATTTCTCAGAAAGCTATAAAGTTTGCGGTCCAGAAGACGTCAAATGACTGTGAGATACAAATCTATAGCGATTTTGGTGACAGATGTGGTGAGGCCAAACTGGCGACTATTGGCGCAATATGGCATCACAGTCTCCCTCACCAGGAATGATTATAGCAAAGGTTGTTCAGTGCTCTGAGCACAAATGTTATACTTGTGATCGTTTGCTGAATACCTTCACAAGGGTATGATTCAAATTCTCAAGGACTTTCGAGTGGAGACCTAGGTATACCGATAGTCTCAAATGCTGACTGCGAATATGCAGATTGAAAGTGCTACGAGGACCTCCCATACGAGTTCTGCATGAACAAGTTATGCTGTAAATGCAGTGTTGGCATACAAGCACAGCTGACAGGGTGCCACCGTGACTTAGTGGTAATGATCTCCTCAAAGTCAGGAGCTACCGGGTTGTTTCCGTCGGCGGGGAAGTTCTTACTTGTCCCCATTAAAAGTTTCCACTCCAGTTTCGGAAATCCTTCAACTAAACGACTCGGCAGAGCGAGTAGGTCAGTCATCTGACGTATCAGACTGATTATGGAATAGGTCACTATCTCGTTGCGCCTCACCGATAATTCCACGTTATGGCCAGAATCTCAATTTGGCCAGGAACTCGTTCCCGGCTGTAATTTGACTCTCTGAACATGTCACCACCTCCATTTGACGCGAAAACTATCTCTTCTCTTTATGAAGGGGCTGAAGACAGCAGTATACAAAGTGCTGTGCCACTGCCTCTGAATCGAGCGTCCTCGAGTGAACGGGGTTTCGCACCCTGGAATAAAACAAGATTTCCGCAAATTTGGTGGTTCTATGAAGGCTTGATGCCAGCGCCTATCCGGCATGGCACAGGGTAAAGGTGTTGTCTATTCGGACGCAGACAGAGACATCTCTCTCTCTCTCTCTCTCTCTCTCTCTCAGATATGCCTTATCCGTTAACATCTGGCCTGGTCATATTAAGGGGCTCAAACTGCTCCGTGGGCAAGTTTGTGGCCGAATCCAGATTCTTCCCAAACACACAAACTATCCGTTACTTTGGGATTTTTGCAAGTTAGATACAACGACAAATTCTTATTTGATCCGCCACGTCAGATACTTGACCTAGTTGCTCGACTGGCTTGAGACTACTACCACATGCCCTAGTGGCACTGGCAACCACCGATCAACTGTGCTTACATGCCAACACTGCGATTGAAGCATACTTAGCGACCCAGATTTTGTACAGAAGATCTCCGTAGCATTTTTAATTTTGCATACTCGCAATCAGCATTCTGGTTCTACCGATATATGTGGGACTCCACTCAAGATTCCATGGAAAGTTGAACTAATTCCTTGATGCATTAGAAATTTCAGCAAACGCTTTTTCATTTTGGCTCGAAGATCGGCAGTGCCGAGCTTCCATTTTCACTTTATGACGTCACTAGTTTTAAAATCTGGTCCGTTACCCGTGCTCGACCTTTGGGCAAAAGTCGACAGGTGTAGTCAGTCGGAGTCGATCAAGAGCGTTCGCTAAATTAGTAGCGCGCCCGCGTAGGTTGCCTTCATTGTATATAAGTCATAAAAGAGTGTACTATCCTTCATGAAAGAGCAAGTATGGATTGCGTTCGCGACCAACTTGCCTTGAGCATTCAAACTCCTGAAACTGTCTCGGGTCACGCAGATGAAATAAGGAATCCAAAAATGAGGAATGTGATTAGGTCCACATCAGCTGCAAATTGGGAAGTTAGTGTAATATTCTAGCGTGTCTTGGAGCAGCTCCAGTAACCCGTGTTCAAATCAGCACAACTTGTACAGCTGATGCGGTTATGTTTAGTGCACGAAGAGATTGATCTAGTGCTTTTTCATAACCATCTATTATGAAATAACGCATGACTCACTTGTGCTTTCTTAGCAGTGAGTATGAGTTGTTGTTCTTGCTTTAAATGTGTCTGACTTTTCGCCAGCTCCTTCAGCAACACTTCAATCTTCTTTTGCTGAGGCGGCGTAACATCTCTTCAGCAAAATGGGACAACGCAGCTGGTGTCAAACTAGAACAATGAGTAGTATAAAATGTTGAACTAAATAGAGTAAAAGAAGTACAATCGCATACATTGATGACGGGTCATCAAACGTGATCGGATTCTCAACAGTACCATCTCCTGTCTCAGCAACAGTCTCAGATTGGCCGCTGTTCGGCATATGTGGCGAATCACCGGCTAGATCAGCAGTACGGGGGCTATCTTGAGGACTGGAACTCACTTCTACTCTATTTCATCATGATCATCAGCTTCAGATGGAAAATTGAGAAGGGACTAACCAAGGGTTCATCGTTTCATTGCTGAAATTCTGCGACGCTGTGCTTTGAGTAGAATTCTGAAAAGTAAAATATACTAGTGATGCGTCTACAGAAAGGCCAGCACCTCTGAAGACCTACAATTTGCGCACTGCTCTGAGGAGGTGTTTGATAGGCAGTTCCAGATGGCTGAAGTGTAACTAATAACTTGGAGATTTGATGAGCTCCTCCAGTGGCAGTCTGCGAAGTTGTTTGTTGGCCTGTGGAAACGAGAAAATAAGGACCACATTTCAGTGCTATGCAGGTATTGAAAGCCAAGACCTAAACTTCGTGACATACTAAGTCGCTAATAGTCTTGAAAATTAGAATGCTCTCAAATTGAAATGGACAGTAAGGAAGAGCCACGTGACGCTCTGTAACGGACGCATGTAATAGCGACCGAATTGCGCGATCCAGTCGGCTCACGGCTGACGGCGGCGCGCCTCTTGTGATACGGCCTTATTTGGCCATGCGGGCGCAGCTTCTTTCACATGTTTGAATACTCAACTAATATCCGGCTTTTCTTTTATCTATACATATGGTCGACCCTCTTGATCAGTGACATCATACCTGCTATTTTCCACACTCAACGAGATGGTGGTAAGTCCACACTGTCGATGAAATTGTGGTAAGGAGCTTTGATCAAGTGCACAGATAAGAGAAAAGCCAGTTGTTAGTTGAGCATCAAAGAAAGAATACGAAACGAGGGCCTACAAAGCCGGGTCGTATCACAGAAAAGGCGCACTAGAGCCGGCGAGCCGACTGGTATCGAATGTAGCTACGAAGACCGGGTGGTTCAGAGTGTGCGCTGCCCTATCACTAGAACTGCCAGTAATAGAGCAGCCAGATCGTGCTTGAAGGCACGCTCTGCCTACTGTGAGCAGGTCTCCAAACTGCCGCGCACATGCTCAACTCTCGCCATAGGTTTTTCCAACGATATATCCCTGACCTTCAAACTCATCAACTGATCACTAGGGAGAGGCCATTCCAGTGGAGACTTCCCCCATTTCACCCTTTTACCCATTAGGGATCTCAATCGGTTTATCCACGGGGCCCTGTTACTCTGCAATCGAATCGTGAATCTTTGACGCTTGTCCCATCCACTTAGACACATGCTCCGCCCACAGTGGGCGTGTCTATCCCACCTCAGTCCTGCGCCGAGCTCCTGCACACCTTTCCTCACCTTTTGGAGTGTCTGAGTGGCGGGAACCGTTCTGCAGATTTTTGATGGCCGCGCTCACCGCCTCGCACGCTCACGCTCACTACGAGTGTCGCCCACTATTAAATGGTGGCCCTTCGCTAATCTCATACCATTTTTTGCGGGGTCTTAGTGCCTCTGTGGATTAAACTTCAAACAACTTTGACGATAATACGGTCATGCGGTGAGGGAGCTCGCGTCTACTGTGGGCGCCGCTCAACCCAGCGTAGGTATGAAGCACAACTAACAACCCCGTGCAAAAATGGACTTTTTTTTTGCAATTCTGATACTCTCTCGTCAACGCAATGAGATGAAGCACAGGCGGAGCATCACCACTCTCAAGCACGCGAAGCCCATTTCGGGCGTGTATCCTTCATTTGGTCTGCCCCTTGCTGAATTTATCCCACATTTTTCCCCCATCTGGAGTCGCTCTCAAGCAGAACCGTGGATTTTTCAGTTACTTCGCTAGCTTTCCGCCCATTGTGAGCTAGAATCAGCAGGGTGACTGGGACTTTCTACATCTTATCTCATGCCCTGCTCCAACCATGACTCGACCTCTCAAAGTTGTCTCCAGGTAGAATCGAATTTTAGCACAAACGATCAAGCAGACGCAGCAAATTATATATAGTGAGTGATAATACCTGTTGACTACAGCTTAGATTCAAAACTGCACGTTATACTTAACAAGATCATCTGTATCACCTGTGCTCCCGTTGATCACCGAGTTCCTCGAGTGGGCGCCGACAACGTTCCAATTCTTCCCTGCAACGTGCCAGAGTTGCCCAAAAGGTTCTCGCAGTTTGAGTGACACAACGAACATCATGCCATTCGTTCAGAGCTCACGAAGAAGTCTGACCGTCGCGTAGACGATCGTCCAGGTGTTCGCACCCCGTTTCGCGCATTCGTGAGCTGCTTACAACTGACTTGTTGTGGATAAATTTTTTTACCGAAGCATGCATTTTTGAATGATCACCGTGGGATATATGCGCAATATGTTTTCCTTATTCTACATTATACATATCGCATTGAACGGGGTAATTGACTTCATATGACAATTTCCAATCAATCCTTCTTCAGCTCTGCGAGCTTAGTTGGCTGGAGTTTGTTTTGTTCTTCATATCTGATTTCAATTGGAATCAAAACAGTTCATCATTCCCAAGCAAACAGAAACCAACGGCGCGAGTGCATCACGGATTGATTTGCTCTTGACACCTGATCTTCCAGAAAGTGATGGCTGAGTAGTCCTTCCAAGTGAATTTCATTCACTGAGTAATGGTTGTAATTGTTCTTCCTGATTGTCATCATAGTCGTCTTCTGAGTTGTCCAAGTCATCTAATTCCTTCATCACTGTACTAAAATAAGTCGTCAAAACTAACATTGACATCCTCTACTTCGTTCTTTAGATCCAAGTATGTAACCTGAACCGAGTTTTACCTCTATTGAATAGGTTCACGCGAGAATCTAAGCACAAATGAATGAGCGTGCAAAGGGCATGCGGCACAAAGACTCCCGTTTCGCGCGTTTGTGTATTGCACACAATTCACGCGCGCGGAGACGCAGGAAGTGTAAACGGGAGTCGCTGCAAAAACGCCGCAACGCTCAACGTGTTTTAGCAGGAGTGACCGCGGAATCGAAGAGGTGGGCACGGAGCCTGGTGTTCTTCGTCTTCTTCGCTACTCCCTCGATGTTCTTGAAGGCTCCCCAAGCCGCTCGCTTCCTCCTGCTCAGCTCTGGTGCTAAGTCGTTCATCATAGCTAGAGAATTTCTTCCGTTGAGCAAGAATGGGGCAGTTAGATTCAGCCGCAAACAAACCTTTCTCCGCGCAGTCCAGCAAAGTGGAGATGGTGTAGTTGTGCAGGCAGATTGCGTGATAATTGCCAGTGTCGCAGGCCCCCCTTCTTGTAGTGCAACACAGTCGTGCCGGTTAACAGCACGACATACCAAGATACCAATTACCAAGGACCAGCAACAAGCAGATTAAGAATGAAATGTTGGGTTTTCTTGTTCAGAAACGTGGAAGATTTATTCAGATAAAACGAAGAGGAGAACAGAAAAAACAAAACTTCGGCTTGAAGTCAAATGGATCCCTCCTTTATCAGTGACCCGCTCCCAGTGCCCCGGAGCATTTGAACCATGGGCACCTTCGTTTTTTAACAACTGCGAGCAAATTGCTGTTGCTGCTAGTTTCGGCCATCGACATATTGTCGTAGCGTTTGCCGTAGGCCACCACTCTCAATTGACCAGATCAGTTGAAATCGCACGGATGTAGGTTGGGCAAGTAAAAAAACCAAAGTCTCAGCACTGTCTGTGTTCGAGCACTGCCCAATAACGCGGTTATTCGGGGTCAGGCGCTGTAATGAGCAATAATGGCCTTCTTGTAGCTGTGTGATACCATTCTTCTGCCGATTGTGGACCAACAGACAACGTACATCGACGAGGTTTTGTTTTCTGTATAGAGGCCGCTTGAAAGCAACAGTGCAGAAATCTATTGCTACAGTTTAATGGGCTTGAGTCCACGTAACTCCTCATGGTAGAATTCGGGTGGGTTATTTGCATTCATACAAAATAGGCACTTGTGAGTTCCGGCTCAGAGTTCAAGACCACACATATATTCGCCAGCGGCTGATTGTGCCTTTTCACGATCGTCAATGACGTCTCATGTGGAGGACACTGCAGCTATAGGTACAGGATCACTTCTGCGTTCGTGTTTCTACGAAAAGGTGAGCTACCCAAACACCCGTCCTCTTAACCATCCTCGAACTTTTGGACGTAACTCAGGCAACAGTCGCAGCAGGAATGTCAGCCTCGCGAAGATGCTTGACAAGGGTCCAATGTCTGTGATCGGATATGCAGCGCTTGATCTCATCCAGACGCTTTTCGTGTGCATGATGAACATTATGGGACCTCCTCGGTCACAACTTTCTTCTTTCTTCCTTCTTCGGATTTCCGAACAAAATCTTTCGCATTCCATCCCGAAAACCCCGAGAGCAGCATTAGACGCAACTACTGGTCCGGCACAGAACAAGTTAGAAGCGCACTTTCTCTGTATGACGTCCGCTTCCATAATCCGGCGCTTAGTTTCACCACTCGGGTGTTTTTAAATTTCTCCAGAACAGGGTACAGCATCGTGATGTGTGAAATGGTGGTGTCAGGACGGCCCCTCCTCGAGGGAAGGTCTCGGTACGACACCCCCTCCCCCTCTTTTCCCCAACAGCTACCTACCAATGTCCCACATTTTCCTGTCCAGTTTTTCACCCAAAAGTTTCCCGTCGAGCGGGGGGGGGGTATCTATTTAGCACATGTAAAACAGGCAAAATCACGCGAAAGTTTCCCAATGCAACGAATTTCTCTCGAACGCACATACGACCTCTCCCCTTCCCAGCGGCCAAGTACGACCTCACTCCCCTCCGCACGTGTTTCACAGAACGATGCTGTACCCTGTTTGAGGAGTTCTTGCTAAGTTAGCCATATCTTACAGAAACGTAGCTGAAGGTACTAGCTTTCGAACGCCATACTAGCCCCCAGCCCTATTCCCATTACTTTCCTGCCATTCCTCGAAATGTTTCTACGTTTTTGTATGAGATGACCTAATATAATACAGCGTCTAGTAAGGCAGGGGAGGGTCGGGGGTGGGAGGACAGGTCGAAGTGGTGTCGCTCGGCAACCCCGTGAACGCGAGGTTGTGGTTCGAGTCCTGGCTACGTCATATTTCTTGACCGTAACTCAGCAAACAATCAAGCAGTTCCATACTTACGGGATCTGCCTGGAGGAACTTTTTGAGGTCGAAGACCGAGGTCCTTTTCGCAGTCTTCTTGTTGCGTATCACTTCTTCTAGCTCGTCACAGAACACAACAATAATCAGCGCTGACGAATTTGCAGAATCCCATAAACATACCTTCTCGAACATTCGTGCTAGTAGCCGAAAATGTTTTGAAAGGCTATTACACTAACTAGGATATCCATTTCGTTGTAAAACGTCTCCATTTCAAGAGTTTCTTGTGGATAAACTTTCCTGCCAACGTAACAGTATAGCGTAGTGGAGGAGGACTCAGGAAGAGGACCAATATGGCATGTACGCTCACTAACCTTTTCCAGTGGGACATTTGACAGAGGCACTACGCTCAAGAGCACACTACAAAATTTAGGACCTTTCCGGTTATCTTTGAGTCTTCGAGCAAACTACTTTAACTCCTGTATTCACAACGCCTAGATCTTGGCTCATTTGAGGTTACAGTATAGCAAAATTATTGAGGTACTTGAATACAAACTGTAATACAAAACCTACCTAAGCCAATTATACTAGTTATGCTGTGCTCTGGTGACGCGAGTATGGCATGAGATGGACCTAGACAAGTGATTAATTCAGTTCAATCCAGCATTTTCAAGCGTAACGTATTACACTTGAGAAAAAGACCACAACTGCACTACCTGCTGGTTTCATGACTACCGGCGCACTTTTTGTTGGTGTTCTTTCGCTCGGCGGTGCAACAGTGAACTGAAAATGTTCCTCTAAACTGTTTGCCGTGTTAAGCACGTCCAAAAAATGTTTCACGCGCAAATCCTGAACCATCTTCCCTTTACAAAACACCCTGTGCAAATTTTATCAGTACCTGTCCGCCGGATCCCATCTGAGCAAAACGAAAGGTGTTATCGTTTTGTTTCTGGACGATTTGTGTAGCTTGAACGACGCGAGGTTGAGCCAGAGACGGCACATTGGCAATAACAGCCTGCGTTTGGGTTGAGACTGATCCTTGTTCAAAAGGGATGATATGTGCCACTCGTTCATGGGTGGTTGGCGACGCTGAACCACGTTGAAGGGAGGCGATCGGCGGACCACTGCCCTGTTGTGGGCCAGCACGTGGATGACTGAAACATTGCTCAGTAACTGCTACGAAAATGAAAACAGAATCCCACGAATCTTGACTGACTCTCAGGTGACATCCCCTTTTTGTCATCTACTAAATATTCACTCCTTTTCTGTGAGCGCTCGGAGCCATGCACACAATATGAGAAAAAACACCCCCCCCCCCCCCCCCTCACCCACACCCCGCCACTCACCCACACCGAACCGACTGGTTGCGATGATATTAACTGTACATATTCACATATATTTATATATATATATACAAAAGATTCCAAAAACTTACTACGACAAAACAACTGGATGTCCAGATCCAGCAGATAAGTACTGTACAGAAGCAACTCCAACCGGCGTGCCTTTGGCGTCGGTCAGCTAAAATGGTTCATATTCTTTCCTCCCGACTTCATAGAGGTACTCTTAATGTGCATTTGTGCACTGTACGAGCTGTGCGTATCGTATGCAGCAAATATGATCGCATCATTCTGGACGGTGTCAGCTGGTACAGAATGAGCCCGCTTGCGGCATTTTCGCCACTGGATGTTGTTTTCCTAAATTGATCGCTAGCCGATTACTGTTAGTTTCTGCCATTCCTGACATCGCCCCGACCGACTGCGACCATGTGATATGAACTTTAGTTCCACCAGTATACAGCTGATACCAGGGGACAAATGCAAAAAATATACACTAGTTATCTAAATCTGAATGTAAAAACATGAAGAGGCACCAAAAATTTTAAATGAAAAAGAACTCAAAAAATCCAAAGGAGTTCCAAAACTTTCGGGATCTTCTGAATCTTTGTAGCTTTTTTTTTACAATGAAAATTTTCGGTGCCTTATTCTGTCTTTACATTCAGATTGCAGTGAGGCTCCGTGACAGCATAATGCTAGTTATGTGATTATTACAATATAAGCTCAGTTTTTTTTGCGAAATTTCCACTAATGGAGGGTATGCAGTACCCTGGCGCTAAACTCTCTGAAATGAACGTAACACCACGTTTTTGTGAACATAAACATGCAATGACTGGGGGTCGAGAGGCCCAGTCAAGAGTATGCCTTGCTCTTTCTCCTAGCGTCCACACCATCCGATGCCTACGGGCACCGAACTCTTCCTTATGAACTAAATATACCATTTTCACTTTAAATCGGACACTTTTCAAACCAAATCGGACACTTTTCAAACCAAATCGGACACTTTTCAAACCAAATCGGACACTTTTCAAATCAAATCGGACACACCCCTTACAATTAGGTGGTTGATAACTAGACCACACTAGGTACTGTTGCAAGCCCCGCCCCATTATCCCCGCCCACTTCTCAGCGCGGACAGGGTTTTCCGAGATGCTTCATGAACACAGAATCATAATAGACACATAGAATTAAAAAAAGGGAAAAACCGGAAAAAAGGGAAACTTTGTTCTGAGCGACGGGAGAGGCCGTAATCCGCCAGTACGGACACTAGCCCGCCGATTTGCATCATTTTCGAAAAGTGGGGCTTCCCCAAAGTGGGCGGAGCTTCCATTGGTGGGCGGAGCCAATCGCTAAAGCCTAAAAAAGCGAAAATCCGGAAGAAAAACCAAAATTCCGCGATAAACACAAGTGGGCGGGGTCAGAGGGGCGGGGCCTGGTGTGCTGTGCATGGTTATTCGTTTTGTGAAGATTGGATGTGAAAAGAACTACGTCGAAAAAAGTTATAAAAATTCAGAACTTACGTAACTTCATTGTTAAGTGGGCGGAGTCAGATCTGTATAGGTATCAATCTTTTTCAGTTGAAGTGTGTGTGCAAAGGGCAAAAACGAAAAAAAGTCGAGGGAGCAGATTTCATGAAGCATCTCGGAAAACCCTGTCCGCGCTGAGAAGTGGGCGGGGATAATGGGGCGGGGCTTGCAACAGTACCTAGTGTGGTCTAGTTATCAACCACCTAATTGTAAGGGGTGTGTCCGATTTGATTTGAAAAGTGTCCGATTTGGTTTGAAAAGTGTCCGATTTGATTTGAAAAGTGTCCGATTTGGTTTGAAAAGTGTCCGATTTGATTTGAAAAGTGTCCGATTTGGTTTGAAAAGTGTCCGATTTGGTTTGAAAAGTGTCCGATTTGGTTTGAAAAGTGTCCGATTTGGTTTGAAAAGTGTCCGATTTAAAGTGAAAATGGTATATAAACTCGCACGCCAATAGGATTGCCAAGTTCATCTTAAATGTGAAACACTTTTCCTGCTGGAGTGGTTGTGAGGTGAAGAGGATAACATCGCTAAATGTGCAGGTTTCAGCATCTTCAGCGATGAAGCACATCGTTTTGGTAGCGGGTAAGCACTGAAACTCCGGAAGCAAAATACAATTCTTTGGAATGAATACCCCATGTTTGAGGTTATGCTCCGCCCATTGTTCGAGTCTCAATACACCGCGGACATGCT